GAAACAACACACAAGACTCCTAGAGCAGAGAGCCTCCTGAAGGCCTGCAAACTAATGGGCCATTAACACATTCACCAACTCATTCAGCAAATACTTATTAAGCCTGTCCCAAGAGCCAGGCTCTGTGCTGGATGCAGGGATAAATATATATATTCTAGGATTTCAGGAGAAGGGAAACAAGCAGTGACTTTCCTTATACTGTAGACAAGAACTACCATGGGGCTGAGAACTTCTTTCATTACGTAACGGGAGAGCTCATTCTGACTACCTGAGCTAACAACGTGGCACCAAACCAAGACGGGTTCCAATGTGCACACAATATAATCTAGAGACCCATACCTGGTGAATTAGGAAGTAGCTATTAGTCAGAAGATTCAGAGTCATTAAACCTTTAGTGCAGAAAAACCAAAACTTGCTGGGACCAGCAGTTAGCGTAATGGCTATGTCACTGGACTCCCATGTAGTCGACAGCAGTTCGAGTCCTAGACCTGGTGGCTTAAATTCAACACCAGGTGTGTGTGCGTGTGTGCCCAAGATCCCGAGAGGAGAATGGAGAAGAAGGGATTGCGGCATGGCCATCACCCCGGGGGGGGAGGGGTGATTTCTCACTTTCTGTCTCTCTGTCTCTCTCTTTCTGGCAAGTGCACGTGCCCTATAGCAAAAACATCTCAAAAAAAAAAAAAAAAGAGACAGAGAGCGAAAAAAAAAAAAAAAAAAAAAGAGAGAGAGAGAGAGAGAGAAAAAAAACTTGCTTAAAAAAAATTAAAAAAAGCCTGTCCATATGTGTGGCCACCAGAGGACTGGTTCTGGTGGTACTTTCATGTCTGAGCCACACTGGACATCTGTGCTCCTCTGAGCTTTGGCTCCATCAACTGTGGAATGGGCAGATCTTTAGCTCTGATGAGACCTAAGCATCTGTGACCTGAAATAAACCACCTTTCTTTCTAATAAACAGAAAAACAAATACCTTTTCCTTTAGAAATCAAGAAGGCTAGCAGGCAGTGGTGTTGCATTTCACAAAGCCCTTTCGTGTCAGGGTGTTGTATCTCTACTTTCTTCTTCAATAAGAGCACTGTCACAAGACTACACATTGCCATTCACTAAGTCTGTCTTTCTAATCCTAACACTTTTTTTTTTTTTTAGGTCGAAGTTTTTGTCTTCTACATCTGAGATTCACTCTTCAACATTTCCTTTAGAAATCAAGAAGGCTAGCAGGCAGTGGTGTTGCATTTCCCAAAGCCCTTTCGTGTCAGGGTGTTGTATCTCTACTTTCTTCTTCAATAAGAGCACTGTCACAAGACTACACATTGCCATTCACTAAGTCTGTCTTTCTAATCCTAACACTTTTTTTTTTTTTTTTGGAGAGATTTTCGCTATAGGGCGTGTGCGCTTGCCAGACAAACAGAGAGAGACATTAGAGACAGAAAGCGAGAAATCACCCCCCAGGGAGGATGGTCACGTTGCAATCCCTTCTCCTCCATTCTCCTCTCGGGATCTTGGACACGCATGCACACGCGCCCGGCGTGAGTTTTAAGCCACTGGGTCTGGGACGCGAACCACGGTTGACTACGTGGGAGTCCGGCGACATAGCCATTACGCTAACTGCTGGTTTCCTCTAATCCTAACACTTTTAAACCCATAACCGATATTGAGCAAGAATCAACAAGCTCAAGATGGCCAAGTCTGGATGACCCAACCCCACATCCTGTTCCATGACCCTGTACTCGTTATTCCTTCTCTGACGAGGCACAGAAAACCTCTTTCCTGCCATTTTCTCCCACCTCCTAGCTGCCAGGCAATTGCAAAGAATTAGGGAGGTGGAAGAAAAGTTACCATGATGGGATGAAATGGGAGCTGGCCTAAGTTTTGAAGCTTTCCACCTCTGAACCCAGCTCAGTTGCTGGTTGGAAGACCTTGGGGGAACCCCTTTTCTACTTTGTGACTCCACCTTCTCATCTATAAAATGAGAGTTTTGGACTGTACTACCCTCAAGCCCCTTTGCCCTGCTAGGATGATAAGATTCCTTTTACTACTCACTCATGGACAAACCATGACAGAGAACATTTCCCAGCCATTGGGCCACTACCACCAGGAAGAAAAGAGGTAAAGGATCTGGACCCCACAGTAGCTAAGAAATAAGGATAAGGATGAATATAATACGGATGCTGAGAACAACCATGGGAGGCAGGGAGAAAGGCAAGGAAGAACCCAGAGACTTCAACATTTTGACATGGAGGACAGAAACCATGATGATACTACCCAAAGGCAATTTGACATAGTGATTTCAAGTACCGACTCTGGAGTCATATTATCTGGATTTGATCCCTATCTGTGCTCCTAATTAGCAGTATGAACCTCAGACAAATTACTAAGCCTTTCTGTGCACCAAGATCCCCCTCTACAACATGAAGAAACAACAGTACTGCATGGGGCCTTAAAAGAAATAATCCAGTTGATAATACACTTGGTGTCTGGCATATAGGAGCTCAATCTGTCTGCTTTACTATAGTAATGTAATATTATGTATTGTATTTTACTATTATTATTACTAAAACAGATCAAATACATAGATTCTCGTACCTGTTGTCTCACTAGTGACCTTGGGATTCAGGTTCCCCATGCGTAACATGGCAGGCTGAACAAAATCAGTATTTCTCTAATGGGAATCTATCTGTAGAGGGATTATATTTGAGTTCTCATGAAGATTTTGAGTATTTCGTGTTTTCATTTCAATGGCTATCTAAATAAATTTTAATAAGCATATCAGGGTTTTCCAAATGCTTACTTTAGAACCAAGTGCTGACACAAAACTTCAAATCCCAAGTGAATATAACTGCTTGTGATTGTGTTGGCACCAGTATAAATAAGCTGACTAATGAGAAAAGAGTAGATGCAGACTGGATTTATGAATGAAGAGATTGGATCAAATGAAAGCCAGATGGGACCAGCAGTTAGCGTAATGACTATGTCGCTGGACTCCCATGTAGTCAACCGTGGTTCGAGTCCCGGACCTGGTGGCTTAAAAAAACTCATGCCGGGCGTGTGTGCGTGCATGCCCAAGATCCTGAGAGGAGAATGGAGATGGGATTGCAGCATGGCCATCCCTCCTGGGGGGTGATTTCTCGCTTTCTGTCTCTGTCTCTCTCTGCCTGCCTGGCGAGCACATGCTCCCTATAGCAAAAAAAAAAAAAAAAAAAA